CTATAAGAATAGTCTTTCTTGGAATCTAATGCATCTATGTGACCTTTATTTAAAAAGCCATGCTCGACAGCCTTTGATAAATGGAGACAGGCTTTAAGGCTTTAAGACTTCAGAACCTCCACTGGACAAATGATGCACTCAGTGAACTGGTTTGCTTTAAATGACTGCTGAAAACTAATTATGTCAGCATCTACTCAATCCTTTGTTTTACTCTTTTTGGTAATATTTTCCATACGATGTATCTATAAAAGTCTATATGTTTGACTACTGGAACACGTGCACTTATATATAATGTGTGGTTTCAAACTCTGAAGCACTTTGTACCTCCGTGTTTTAAAAAAGTGCTATACAAATAAAGCTATTGTTAATGCAAAGGCTCCTCAAAGCACATGCTATGATGGACGACTCGTACAATAAACCATGAAATCACAAGGGGCTTGTGGTTGACTACAGCAGTACTTTCAGTTAATCAAGTGATGGTACATGTGATCCCTTGGGGTAAAGGTGGGAGCAGTCAGACGTAGGAAGTGAGAAGAAAAAGGTCATTTTCATTTTCTAACGAATGCTGCTCCCGGCAGCTCCCTTACCCGCACACAAAGGGTCCTCATGGCAAGCAGCTCCACATGTTTGATTTGACAGATTTTTATTTTTTATTTTTTACACCAGATGCCCTTCTTGAGACAATGCCAAAGGGACTGGTTTCCCTTTGTGTGATCAAACTGGGGAGCTTTTGTTATTTTAGGTGAACATGTAAACCACTACACTGTAGAATCCACTTTCTTTGAGACTGCTCTATATTGTGCATATGATATCATTTTATAGATTAGTTTGTGTTTGTCATGTTCATATTTAGAACAGACAACCAATATATCCTAATATTCAGCTTTATGAATGCTGAAGTGATACTTAATAAAAAAAGATTTAAAAAAAAAAAGATCTAGCCTATTAGAAAAAGAGACAGATCCACAAAATAAAGCATCAAGACTTCTAAAGCGTCTGAAGTCTGAGGAACAGCTCAAAATGTTGCAAGGCAATTAAAATCCTTATTAGAGACTTATTTTTCCTCTTCTTTAACTTTGAAATCCCAAGTCTAAAGTTACCTTGCTAAACCCCATTCCTGCTTTATAGTAGAGACATCTGATGTAAGCACTATGGAGTCTGTGTGGGCATTAAAAGAACTGTAAGAGACATTCTAAATACAAAGCAGTTTTCACATTATAGTTGTGGAACTGCAGATGCATAAACGTCACAGTAATTTTGAGCTTTTAATGGTAAATGGTAAATGGCCTGTATTTGTATAGCACTTTACTAGTTCCTAAGGACCCCAAAGCACTTTACACATCCAGTCATGCACCCATTCACACACACATTCACAATGATTTCTTTGAACTGTTCTTTTCCCAGAGTGGAAGGATTGTACAGCATACATCTTTAATAGCTTTAAAAACAAGAATTAGATGTACAAGTTTGAATTTATTTTGGATTTTCTCCAATCCACGCAGGGTCAAAAGAGAGTTGAAGGTGGGGCTTTGGGAAGGTCATTTCAGAAGTTTAATGTTAGCCTTTTTTATCTATTCCAAAATACACTTTGATGTGTGTGCCTTACTGGAGAACCCAGTTGTATCCAAGTTTTAACTATTAGGCTGTTGATATCAGGTGAAGCTAAAATTGGAGGTGGTTTTCCTTCATTGCTCCATCCAAATTGTGCAATGTACCAGTACTACTGGCAGCAAAACAGTCCCAGAGCATGATGCTACCACCACCATGCTTACAGTTGGTACAGTGTTCTTAGGTCTCACTTTTCTTCTTCTAAACATATCTCTTGTCATTGTGACCAGTTAGCTCAATCTTTGTCTCGTCTGACCAAAAAACTTTTCCTCAGAAGGCATTTGGCTAATCCATATGCTGAAAATTTTAATCAAGTTTGACGGTGTTGACTTCAGAGCAGGAGCTTTGTTCTTGGTCAGCACCCTCTCGGTCCATGGTGATGTAAAACTTGCTTCACTGTGGACAATGATGCTGGTTCTCCAGCAGTTTCATGGCAGGGTTGGTGCTTCCTGGGTTGTTCCTGTGCATGCTAAACAATTTCCTTCCATCTGAGGGTGATAGTTTATATACATCAGTGACATAACTGAATAACTTGTATTTATGTACAATTGTTTGCACTGATGGCCTGCAGTTATGTAGAAATGGCTCCATTAAGCTTTTGGACCTGCCAAAGCCACGACATCAAGCCTACTGAAAATTTGTGGATTAAATTTTTGACATGTAAACAACTGTACTTACAACTGTACTTGGAACAGCTACAGCTCAAGCAAAGCATCCTCATGAAGCCTCCTCATAGCAGATCACTTGTTTTTCTCTGTACACTATAACAGCTATAGTTAGAAAATCACAGTATTATTTTTGAAGCCATTCTCGCTTTACATTATTCCTTAAAACTTCTGACAGTCGTTCACATGTGTTTAAAGGTAATCCCATGATGCAAGCTCACATTCAGTTGCCCTGTATTTGACCTGACATGATGAGAGTCAGATGTTTCAAGTCATAACGCAGACATTCCTCACATTCTTACATGTCTCAAGGTCTTACACTGCAGCACAATGTGTAATAGTAAATGCAGAAACAAGTAAAAAGTGACCAGGTAAACAAAGCTGGCAACTCTGCTATTGCTAGATGGAGGGAAACACTCAGTTGTAAAGAGTCAAAGATTATGTTAGCTTTACTGGGAAGTAGTGGGAATGTTGCCAGTCTGTGAAAGCCCACTGCGACCAAAGGTTTCTTAGTGTAGTGCTACATACTGAGGATATATAGATACTGTATACGTGGCTCAGGGAGGACTCCTAATTAGGGCATACTACAATCAGTTTCCACTATTTTTCCAGGAGAAAGTACCTCATTATCATTTTTAAAACCTTTTTTTTTAAATTTGATTTTGAATGCCACAAATTCCAGGTCATCATTATCTTAGAGGTAAACATTTCAGCTCCCTGACTACGAATAAAAAAAAAAAATGTCTGTCATTAAGGAGCAAATGAGAAAACCTTGATTTCTGAAGGACTGACCTTAAATCTTTGCACACTTCTGCTCTCTCTCACTCAAATGACATTTGTCCTTGTTTACATGTATTCCCAACGCAGCCAATTATTTTAAATATACGGTGAGTCATTAAAGCTTTGCTAGTTTTGCAGACATTAAAGCACAGGGGGGAGACTGATTTACTTCAGGAGCAAAATCATTCAAACCTTTAGCGGCACCAGTGGGCTGCAGTGAAGCGATGCAAATATGCAGCAAGATGACTGAATAACTTGTGATGTACAAAATGTTACAGATGAGAAAAGAAATGGAAGCTCCTAAAGAATGCAATATCTCCTGTGAGGATTTCCTTACCCTCCTGTATGTGTATTTTAAAATTTTCAGCTTCTTAGGAAATACTTTAGGGAGCCATCTGTAATAAGACTGTAATATACGCACACCTACATTATTTTTCTTTTAAGTTTTAGACTGTTGTGAAACTATGTTTATGTTTCATTTATGTTTTCAATCCTCTGGAAACCCGTTAGCACTTTTAATATGCGCGACTAACAACAGCTATGAGGGATTGCAAGTATTTATGAATACGTAGGGAGGGAAGTATCTCATTTGCACATCTTTTCTTTGCTTCACCAGCTTCTCTGCTGAGCAGATTGGGGCTCTAAAATTTAAATTTAAAGGTCTGTATTTATTAGTAGTGGGCTTTAAATAAATATTTAATAATATTTCTGAGATGTTACTGACTGTCTCGAGGCATACTAAACATAACTATGGTAATTTCTCATGTTCTTCCAAATCATTTGTATTTAGGTAATGGAGTTTACTTGTTCTCTTCACATAACTACAAGGTTAGTCAATCAATCATACATACATGCATGTATCTATGTAACTCTTATCCAACATAGGGTCACAGAGGGGGTTGGGCCAGCTGGCATGGACACATTGGTATTTAAATGATGCTCAGTTGCTTCAGGGGTCCAACGTGTGTCAAGAAAATATTCCCCACACCATTACACCACCACAATGATGAACCATTGATACAAAGCAGAATTGATTTTTACATAAATTTCTGACCATTTCCTGCAATTCGAGACTCATTGGAGCACACAATGCGTTATCATCCTTTCACTGTCAAATTGCAGCCTTTTTCCTGTTCTTATCTAACAGGAACAGCACCCGGTGTGGTCTTCTGCTGCTGTAGCCCATCAGTTTCAAGATCTGAGGTGTTGTGAATTTACAAATGCTCAGCATACATTGACTGCAATGAATGGTTATTCTAATCGGGTCTCTGGCATCAACCAAACATTTTCACCCAAATAACTGCCACTCAGGGGATATTTTCTCTTTTTAGGACCATTACCTTTGAACTTTAGAGAGGGATGAGCAGGCAACCAGCCTGCCGGGTCAGCCGTTTCTGAAATGCCAACATCTGTGCCCTGTTTAAAATCACTTAAATCAGCTTCCGTCTCCATTCTGATGCTCAGTTTGAACTTCAGCAGGTGACTGGCTAATTGGATTAGGATTAACAAGCAGCTGAACATGTATACCCAATGAGCTACTGAGTAATTTATTTAGTCAATCTGAATCATCTTCAGAGCCTCCTAACTTGAGCTTGCAGAGTTGCATTAGTAGCTTGCAACAAAGATATTGGTAAGTGACTTAAACTTCACTTACACAAAAAAGGACCAAGTTGCCTCGTGTCAACATAATCAATGCAGTAGTTTTACTTTCACTTTGTAGGCGTAACGTTTCCTGTCTCTGAAATGTGCAGTTAGTGCAACACGAAAGTCGGATCTACTGAATGTTAGACACAGGTCTCCATGTGGTTTTGAAAAGTTAAGCCCATGAAGTCCCTCAGAACTTCATTCTTTCAATTAGCCAGCAGGGGGCAGCTCCTCTGGATATAAACAAGCCTAATGCTAATTGAAAACTTCAGTAAACAGTTTACCGATGAATCACAAACACTGGTTTCTGATCTCATTTAATACAGCTTGACATTCATTGTGTAAATTATGGCCTTCTTTAGAATAAAAAAAAAAACGAAGGGTGAGCTTTGAAACCCCAAGCCAAAGTCTTGAAAAGATGACTTTAGTGGGTGACATCATGTCTGGCTACAACAATTTTTTCTAAACAATCGTGTGTCAGAATTAGTGCAAACAAATCAGAAGCTGTTGCGGGAGAGCAAAACAACAACAAAGTCTAATTAATGTAATGTTATTGGTACTGCTGAGCTTTCAGGAGATATCCAATCCTCTTTTGCTATGTATGACCATTGCTCATCCTGAGCTGGATAATTTAGCAGATATCAGTAGTTTATGATTAATAGAGTAGTTGTGCTTTGCAAAAAAAAAAATTCACTCACATATTCTGAGGACGTCTAGCTTATGAAAAGAAAATAACTTTCTTAGTTTCTCTTTTGATTTGTTCACAGTTATGTTCGACACAATCTGAATGGCAGATCTTACTGTTAGTCACTCAAATGTGCTCTGCATGTAGCTTTGCTTTATCCAAATCAGTTGTTTATTTCCAGTATGTCAATCACATGGTTAATTACTTCAAATCTTAAAAGGTGGTGCCACTGTGTGACTTTCAAACATTTATAACTTGACTGTTTTGATTGTTTGTTTACAGCTTTGGCTTCACAGCATTGCACTCTATGACTCCTGCTGACAGCATCTGGTTTATCTGTGGGGATGTGAAGCCGTACTCCTGTAGGACCTCAGCCGTGTGTTCTCCAGTAACGGGGTCGGAGGTGAGGCAAGGCTCAGCAGGAGTGCGAGACAGAACCGGAGCTGGTCGGGGGCTTTCTTCCCCACTGGAGTCCTTCATGAAAGAGCCTCTTTCCCGGTTATGTGGGTGTGAGCTCACCTGGTCAAAAGACAACACAGGTGTAACACAGGCATCAGTCCCATCAAAAATCTCTGACCACTCCGCCTGGCTCTTTGAGGCAAAACGCTCTGTGAAGATTCGTCTGAGCTCTGGCCAATCATCAAAGCTCATCTGAGAAGGCAACTCTCCAGCATCCAACTCTAAACCTAGAAAGAAAAAAAAAAAACTTTTTATGACCCAAAAGTAATATCAAGTTAAATAAACTTCCGTATAACAAGCTGGTGCAGAAGCAGCCAACACTTTCATCTCAATATGGGTTGCTGATCTTGCTGAAGGTCCAAGTTGGCTACATGATGTAATCATTTTAACCACTCGTTACTGCTCTACTAAATAATGAATAATGACTCCATGTGCAGGATTTAAGCACTGACTTTTATATAGCAGTTTTTTTCTGTAATTTCTTATGCACAATTTCTCTTTCACACACACACACACACACACACACACACACACACACACACACACACACTTATAGGTAAAGGTAACTCTATTTGTAACAGTGAATACAATCATTAATGTTTCTGTGAGTAGAAAACTGAAATCGGTACTGTCAGTTTTACTGTGTGGCGGAGGTGTAGGGCAGTGAGCTCAAGGGGGCTGGAGGGACATGCAGTGATTTGACTAAGGAGGTTTCTCCGTTTATACATAGTGAAGCCAGAGACCAGAGGAGGAGTGTGTGCTGTGCTGCCAACTGGCTGAAAAGTCGAGAAGCAGGTACCAAAATGTACAGCTGGTATGTCGGACCCACAAGCCGTGCCACCTGCTCAGCCATTGCAAATTTTGGCGCAGATACTGGCTGAGATGAACCACGATGGTGGTCACTTATTTGGAGTAGCTGGAGAAGCTACAAGATCAGGTGGAGCGGCAAACTCAGGTCGTGGAGCAGCTGGTCGGGGCTGCAATGTTGCCACCCACTCCTCCACTGTTGGCGGCAATGCATGGATGGGGGGCCGTGATGACCCCCAGGTCTTCCTGGAAACGTTCCAGGCCACGGCAGAGGCATGGCAGTGGCGGAGTGGGCGCCGTGGCTGCTTCCACTGCTGTCAAGGGAAGCTCAGATGGCAGCTCTGAGTCTGCCGCTGACCTCGCGCGGCAGCTTCACTGACATCTGCTGGGAAGTGCCGGACCGATTGGGCCTGGAGGCTGACTGGGGAGGACCATCCTTTTGTGTGGGCCCGGAAACTGCACAACATGGTGGCACGGTGAATGCGGGGCAAGAGTCCTGGAAGTGCGGGTCCTTAGAATGACGTCCCGCCAGCTCTGGAAATTCTTCCCACGGGACATTTCCCACTGGGGCAGTTTCGTGATGACAAACTACTCTCAGGCATTGACCTAGAAATTGATGGTGACGTGCTGCACCCTGAAGCCGTGCAGACCTACCAACGCTTCATATTACTGAGAGATAAGAGGCAGCTCGTCATTCTTTTTTGGCCATTTTTAGAGAAATGTTGCGCCACATAATACTGACCTATGAATCGCCCAAGCCTCAAAAAGGCACCTAACTCAGGGGATGACAGTTTGAAAGGCCTTCAATAGCCTTTGCACCATTGAACCATTAGCTTGATTCATCCACGGAAGCCTCATCAGAACTAGTCTCAGTGGAAGCGTGGCTCTAAAAACGCTGTTGTTGAGGGAGGCAAACAGGGAGAGAAAGCTGAGGTATGCTAAATTTTTTTGTTTCTGCCTGCATTTCCGCCAGTGGTGTTGGGCATGTTTTCAAAACTGATGGAATTATGAAAGTAGAAAATTACTGTCCGATTTTGATCCCCCATGTGATTCCACCTGGAAAGCATCTGATTGGCTATGGCTTAATTTTTCAGCATAAAAACACACTGTCAATGCAGTAAAAGAATACCTGGATAGAAAGAACCCAGACCTCAAGATTACTGAAAGAGTTATCACTGAAAAAGATATTACTGAAAGATCATCTTGACAGAGAACCAAACAAAAAGCAGCCAACATCCAAAGAAGGGCTTTGAATGATCTTCAACAAGTCAGGAGAAATATTCCTGAAGACCACTTAAAAATGACAAAAAAGCTTGTGTAGGAGAATCCAAGCTGTGTTGAAGAGTAAAAGTTGTTGTAAGAATTCAGTTTCAGTTTTTGCCTGTTTCAATAAATCGGTGCATTCATTTCCAATTTTCCAAGTAAAATATGAAGCAATGAGGGCTAGCTCGAGACTTTGGCAGTGTACTGTAATGCTTCACTTTGCTCAAATATTGATCAGAATCATGATTGGATGGGTTACAGGCAGTTTTCTGATTCATTCATTTTTGGATTGAACCTTAAACTTGATTCTTAGCCACCATAAATGTTTCCTGTTGTTGATTCAAATGAGTCAACAAACCTTTAAGCAGCTGTTTGTAGAACTGAGGTTCAATGGCACCAACAGCCATGAACTGCCCATCCGAAGTCTGGTAGGTATCGTAGAAGGGAGCTCCACTGTCCAATATATTTTCTCCTCTAGACCGGTTCCACAAACCAATACTACGAGATTTCCATAAAAACGAACCCATATATGCTGCTCCTTCCACCTGAAGAGTATGAGACAGGAAGACATGTCACTGAAAAAACAATTTTCTGTTGTTAATTTTTATTTTTTCCTTTAATTTGTTAGTGTTAGTGTGATAACTGTCACACATATGACAGACCGAGGATATCGCTTTTTAAGCAGGTTGGCATGAAAATCTTTAGAGAACAGAAAATACAAAGCAAAGATGAAATGTGGTGTCAGTGCAACAACGACACGCACAAATTACATTTTAAATACTAACACAGCTTTCTGTATTCAAAGCTTATTTAAACTGGTGCTGCTTCCACTGCTGCTGAGTAAACAGAAAAAGCTTGATCAAAAAAATAATGAATGCATGACATAAACAACGCAAATAATAACATTGCTGGGAGGGAATCAGTCAGCAATAGTCCTTCTACAAAGGCTGCAGGAATGATAACTACTATCGTCTCTTACTGTTGATTACAATCACTTTGTGTGACCTTTAATTGACAGCATGCTTATTATTAAGGGTTACATGAGCAAATACGTTTAACTAGGGATTTATCAATACATCAGCTAAACATACATACCACATAATTAACATTTACCTATGGCAGTGGCTGAAGTTTAAGTTTTGAGTCACATTAATCTTGTGCTTGGACTTTGTTTTTTCCCTCGCATTTTTTTTGTTTGTTGTTGTTGTTGTTGTTGTTGTTTGTACTTGCCTGGCACTAGAAGGGTCAACGACAACACTAAATTAGAATGCACAAAGGCACTAGTACCGGCCAAATGGTTATCATAAAAACTGGTACTGGCATCAGCCCCGGATTTTACAAGCTGTGCATCTGTATAATACAGTTCTGTGAGCCGTCAGGGACAAAGCAGAGTGGAGAAAGATCTCCAGCTAGTCGGGGCTTCAGTGATTTCACTGTTACTTGCTGCCAAAAAAAACACCCCAAATTATTGCTTGAAGTAGGGAAGGCGCTCTGAATGTGCATTTTCTCTTTTGATGATCTTCACTCATGAAAAATGGATTTCTGGTTTAGAACTATGAGACCATAAGTGTGGAGATTTGAGAAGCAGTGTTAATAGTCTGTTTTCTTGTGTAGCTTATACTGTATACAGCAGCTGAATCCACTCATCCCCTCAATAAAATCTCTAAGAGCAAGAGCTGACACAAAAATAGGAGAAAAATAGGAGATCATTGTCTCTGTCTTTATTTAAAGCTATAAAACCTGCAATCATTGATGTCTTTAACCGCTTGGAAGCAACGCAAACAACTAAGGAACACAACACTGACATATCATAGATTTTTAAATCGATTTGGCAAACATTAGCAAGCAGCTGCTTATTGGACTTGTGTCTGTATCCACCTGCTGAACATGCACCTGGTATTTATTATCTTGAGTTATATTTAGCTGTGTTTGTGGTTTCTATTATCATCTAAATACTGCCTGTCTGTTGTCTGCTGCCAAGTATAAAGTGTAGTGTTGAGGGAGCCTTCCAGAGTCGTTTCACTGAAAAGAGCTCGGAGGGCAGTGAGAATGAACACTGAAGCTTCAGAGTAGATTATTAAACAATGGGGGAAAAATTCAGCAAAGCAAAGGAAGCTGCACACACAGGTAATCATACCTTCAAGTGACTCTTTCCATTGTCACATTGGTACACAATCAATGTTTCTAAATTCCCTGAAATTGTCTGTAAAGTGCCCACAGGTGTGAATTTAAATATGTCCACGTATGTCAGAATGGCAGAAAAGCACACGATGAGCGTGTAATGCACCCTGCCTTCAGATACAGAGCGCGCTGGCACTGGCTGCAGCCCACCTAAGCATCAAAACGATAGGCATGTCAGGTACGGACAGACAGTAATGGACACTAATAATATAATTGATAGCAGACCAGTGATGTTGAGAGAAAAATTAGAGATCATGTCGAACATGTGTCACAGTTGGTAGTTCTGATGCAGTTGGTGTACTGCTGGGCATTTAATCAGCTCCTGCACCAACACATAGAACAGGCCACAACAGGTGTTTCTACAACCTCACGCTTCATATGAAGAATAATTTCCCATTAAAGAGAATCCAAGGCAATATAATAAACTAATCAAATTGACGTTCTGTCTATGTAGTATCATTAACAACTTGAAAAACAACCTCTGCATTATTCTACTTATAGAATAATGTAATTTTTATTATTTTTATGTTTTTTTTGCCATTTTTTCTGCATAAAGCTTTTAAGTAACTTCAGTTCTTTTCATAAATATAAAATAGTTATTACTTTTTAAATGTTTAACCCTTTAAACACCAGTTTGTTTTTCCACTGCACTAGCTGGAAGACAACCTCAAATCTCGCAATTTTATATGATTGCATTGCTACTGAAATTTCTTGTATTATTAATAGTAGAGTCTGGGGCATGTAATTGATTCACATCAACATTGATTATAATGCATTGTTATTTTTGTGCAGGGAGAGAAAAAACATAAAAACTCCCTCTAAAAATGGCCACCCCTTGTTTACATTTACAAAATGCTATAAAATTCATATATATTAAGAAAAGTTTCCACTTTTTTTGACTTGATTTTTTAGATTAGCATCAGTGCTGTTCATGAAAATCAAAATTTCATTCAAATTCAGAATTTTAAGCCTTTAAATACCAGTTAGATCACATAATCCTAGGAACTCATAAATGGAAAACATCATAAAACCCCAATTTTTTTTAAAAATAATACATGCCATCTGATTTATTTTCTAACCATGATGGAGGTTAGATGTATAGCAATAATTAAAAGTATCAATGAGTTTTATGCATCTTTGTTTTTTTGTGCAGTGACGGAAAAACAAAAAAAAAAATCCCTCTCAGCTTCTTCGTGGCCAAAAATGGCCACCCCCTGTTTATGTTACAAAAGTCAATAAAATTCATATATATTAAAACATTTTTCTACTTTCATTGACTTGATTTTTTAAATTAGCACCAGTCCTAGTCATAAAAACCAAAATCTAATTCAAATTCAGATATTATACCATTTGAATACCAGTCAGATTATGTATTATTACTACGCTTTTAGGTGAAAATAGTAATAAAGTTCACATTTTTTAGCATATGAATGATGAAACCTAATATTGTTATCATCATTGCAGGTCAGTAACAGTAACAATGATTTATTTTTACTAGATTTTGGGGGGGGGTGAATGGCCAAAAAGAAAATCACAAATGGTGTGTTAGTGGACAGAAAGGCAGTTTAATGACCAAATAACCACTGAAATGACCAATAACATGATCAAAATTTATATTCCAGTATGTGCTTCTGTGTGCATCCTCATTAGCATCAAGATGTACTAACCACATTAGAGTGGTTTTTGTAGGCACACTTTCTACACCTGGTGCAAGAGGCTGCTGTTCCAATCCTGGAGGTGCACCTTTTGCACCTTCTTCTCATTTTGTTGGTGGGGTGTGGGTCACACTCTGGTTCAGACTACTGTATCTTGAGATCAATGGCAGAAGTGGCTAAGAATCAAGGACAAGGCCATCTTGCAGTTGTTGAGGTCACGAGCATGTGTCCCAGCTCTCCCAGGATCACTCTTCATTTGTAGGTTGTAGAGGACTCCCCCACTTCAGTGAAGTTGTTTCCGGCGGGACAATGACACTGTATCTCAAGACATCCAGGAGATTGGAGAAAAGAGCCATCAGTTAGTTTTCCTTCTACAACTCGAGGTGCCAACACCCTCTAAGTTATCCAAGCAATATTTGTGCCTATTGTAGTCCAGGATTGCTTCTTGCTTTCACGCATCCTTTATTCCCCATCACTGACTGCTGGTTCCTTGTGTGTTGCTGTCAAAAGAAGCACATTCCTCCGTTGCTTTGGCATGTGGGATATTTCCGTGGTAGTTTTGGTGAAGCCAAAGACAGACAACAAAATCTTCCTCTGTTGCAACTGGAGGAGTTGGGGAGGAAGCTCTGGGTTGTTTCCCCTGTTCCAGTTTTCATCTGAGGGGTTCCTCTGCCAAGGTGCCCGAAGGAAAGACGTTGTCCTCGGAGCTCCTCCGTCAGTTGGAATCTGAACCCCGTTCCCTTTTTTACTTCCTGAGAACTTCCAGTGTTGTCTTCCAACATGCTATGTATTGGTTTATTCTGGTGTAGGCTCACATCTCCAATCCTCACACCTTCGCCTCCCGTGCAGGTTTGTAAGGGTGCACAGCAGCTAAAAGATCTCATTTGTTATAAAAAGTCAAACGTAGATCTCAGGCTGCTAATGCAGTGAACTGCATACAAGGTGACCCCTGGTTTGATACCAGTGGGTACTGGATTGTAGAGCAGTTTCTCTTCAGTAGTGGGACCCACATGGTTTTCCTTTCATGAGGGATCCACTCAGTCGCCGGCTCCTCAGTCTCAGAAAATGCTTCTATGTTCTTTTCCATCAGCTCGGCCTCCACCTCCATGCCCCCCAACCCCAATCCTCTCCCAAAGAAGAGGATTCAGGCACTGGCTAGTACTCATCATCAGTGGTGATGCAGTCAGCCTCTTTGGAGATTGTCCCCTCATCTTCTGGAGAGGAAGTTTCTTCATCTTGGGCAGATGTCTTTTCTTCAAGGGCAGAGGACTGCTTGCTGTCCTTGCTCTCTGACCAGATCATATAGACAGTGCTTGAAGCAGTGATGACTTTATTGCCATATTGCCTGAATAAATGATCTGGAAGCTGTTAGGCTTACTTACAGCAGTAGCACTGTCTGCACCTGCATAAACTCCAGGACACGTTTACAAACAGTGCTGCTGAGCTGCAGCTGCAGCTGCAGGTTTGAACAAATGTCCTGTGATTGGGTTTTGGTTTTTTTTTAGAGTTAATATTTTGGGTATGGTCTCTTTTTATGAAAAATACAGAGTAAAAGTGCTTTTAGCATGTGCTTCAAAGCTGAGTTTGACTGGGAAGCTCAAAGCTCAATAGCCTGCATCGACAGAAATTCACTGCAGCCTATGTAATGTTTGATGCGTCATTATTTATTTCAGTCTATCTTGCAAATACATGTTTGTGCTGCAATGTCA